AGGAATTGGAGCTGTGGGTCAAGAGGTAGAGCTCTAGAGTTGGGTCAAAATGCTCAGGGACAGTTCCTAGGCCTAGAGTTCAAGCCACAGGACTGGCACAAAAATCAAACAACAACAAAATAAAGCAAGACTGTGTCATTTATTATTGGTGTTTATTGCTGGTGGTTACTATGAATAATGATGCTGTAGTTATCATCATAATATAGGGGAAAAAATCCAAAGGTTCAGTATGACTAAGGAAAGGTGTCTATATGAATTTTGAAGTCAAAAGTTCAATTCTCTATTTTTTCAACTCCAAGATGCAGTTGTGTCCATGTTTATCAGGCTTTTCTTAATATGTATATATATATATACATATAGAGAGAGGGGGGAGGGGCGGGGGGAGACATTTGTTGATTGCCTGAAACACTCCCATTAAAGAGATGTAATTCCAGCATTCAGAAGATTTAGCCTGGGATATGTCATATCAAGATCTTGTCTAAAAAAATAAAAAGAGGACTAGGAATGTGGCTTAGTGGTAGAATGCTTGCCTAGCATCCTTGAGGACCTGGGTTCAATTCCTCAATACCACGTAACAGAAGGAAAATAAAAATAAAAAGAGACTGTGTCTCACACCTGTAATCAAAGCTACTCAGGAAAGTGAGACCTTAGGATCTTGGTTCAAAGCCAGCCCGAACAGGAAAGTCCCTAAGACTCTTTTTTCTTTTTTTGTCAGTTGTGGGACTTGAACTCTGGGCCTGGGCGCTATCCCTGAGCTCTTCAGCCTAAGGCTAGTGCTCTACCACTTGAGCCAAAGCACCACTGCCAGCTTTTTCTGTTTATGTGGTGCTGAGGAATCGAACCTAGGGCCTTATGCATGCCAGGCAAGCACTCTACTACTGAGCCACCTTCCTAGCCACGTCCCTAAGTCTCTTATCTCCAATGAATCAACAGAAAACCAGAAGTGGCACTGTGGCTCAGGTAGTAGGGCACTCACCTTGAGCTGAAGAGCTGAGGGACAGCGCCTAGGCCCAGAGTTCAAGCCCTGTGACTTACAAAAAAAAAGAAAAAAAAAGAAAGGGGGGAGGGCTGGGAGCCAGCCCAAGTAGACAAATCCCAAGACTTAGATAAGAGAGAGAGAGAGAGAGAGAGAGCCATTCCTGGGGCTTTAATTCAGGGTCTGGGTACTGCCCCTGAGCTTTTCTGCTCAAGACTAGTGTTTTACCACTTGAGCCACAGCTCCATGTCCAGCTTTTTGGTGGTTAATTGGAGATATGCGTCTCAAGGACTTTCCTGCCTATGCTGGCTTCAAACCACAATCCTCAGATCTCAGCTTCCTGAGTGAAAAGCATTACAAATGTGAGCCACAGGCACACAGCTTATTTATTTATTTTTAATAACAGAGAAGAAAGATTAAATTGAACATAAACTAAATATAAATGTTATTATGTTATTTCATTTTCCATTTTGTTCACACCAAGTCCCAATAGTCAGTGTGCATCCTCCAAATATGGCACGCCTCGATTTGGACATGGTAGTTTTCTTAACTGCCATAAATAGCACCTACACACACACACACACACACACACACAAGCTGAAGCAGCCTAGACTGAGTTTAAAGGCTTCACTGTGTGTGTGTGTGTGTGTGTGTGTGTGCGCACACGCGCGTGTGCATACGTGCGCATGTGCCAGTCCTGGAGCTTGAATTTAGAGCTTTTTTGATCTAAGCTAGTGCTTTACCATTTGAGCCCCAGCTCCATTTCTGGATTTCTGATAGTTAATTGGAGATAAGAGTCTCATGGACTTTCCTGCTCCGGCTGGCTTTGAACTGGGATCCTCAGATCTCAGCCTCCTGAGAGGCTAGGAGCTAGTATGAGCTACAGGCAGCCACCCAGCCACCTTTTTTTTTTTTTTGTCAGTACTGGAGTTTGAACTCAAGACCTCATGTTCTCAGCTTCCTTCTTTTACCACTTGAGCCCAAGGACTTCAATGTATCCAGTGCTGACTAGATACATGAGATCAAGAAAAGTATTGAATAATCCTCTGCTAACCTCTGTGCCCATGAATTATTTTCTCAGTATGTAGAGTATGTATCAAATTGCCTGCACTGGGCCAGGCATCATTTCAAGTGCTGGGGATACTGTAACGAATGAAACAGAACCCCTCACCTTTAAGGAGCTTATCATTTTATGGGTTTTGTTTTTGTTATTTTGGTCGGTCATTGGGCCTGAACTGGGCCTGGGTGCTGTCTCTCAGCTCTTCAGCTCAAGGGTAGCACTCTACCACTTGAGCCATTGTTCTACTTCCAGCCTTTTCTGCTTATGTGGTGCTGAGGAATCGAGCCCAGGGCCTCATGCATGCAAAGCAAGCACTCTTCCACTGAGCCACCTTCCCAGCTCCTTTTCCGTTTGTGCTTGTTTGTTTTTTGAGCATATCATTTTAATGGGAAGTGTAAACAAATAAAGTGGAATCGTGGTAGTATGCCACTTAGTCAAAGGAGGTAGGCAGAACACTGCAACAGGGGATGGATGAATTGAGTAGGTAGTTAATAGAGTACAACTTTTTTGGGGGGAGGGTTTGAACTCAGGGTATTGAGCTTGTTAGGCAGGTGCTCAGCTCCTGAACCACACCTCCAGACCTTTTTTGTGCTGGTTATTTTGAGATAATGTAACCATCTTTCCCAGGCTCATACTTGCCCATAAGCTGGACTCTTATTGTATGCTTCCTGCAGAAAATAGACATGGAGTCTCCTGAACTATTTTTTTGGTGTGGGCTTCCCCTAAACTGTAATCCTCGTAGGATTCTAGGCATAAGCCACAGAGCTCAATCTTCATTCTTTTTTAAAAAATGAAATTAAGAATATGAAATTTAATGACATTTTATGAAATTTAAAAATATTTAATAAGAATACATTATTTACATATAGGGTAAGAAAATGTGGTGAATCCCTAATAATCGTCACTTATTTTGAGACTGGCTATGGTACCTCAGCTAGTGAAAAAACTTCTAGTCTTAAGTGATCCTCACGTTTCATTCTCTTGAGTAGTTGGGACTACAGGTGCACAGCAGCATCTGATTTAGATTGTAGTTTTAAAGTGATTGTCAGGACAACTTTCCTAATACAGGGAATATAACTGAATATATTTCCTAATATAGGGAATATATTTGAATGGATATAAAAAAGAGACTGAATCCTGCAGTTTTAGGGGTGGGGATTGGGGAAGGGGGAAAGAGCTCTAGACAGATTGTATAACTGCAAAAACAAGCTGGGAGCATGTTGGTCTAGATGCATTGTGTAAGTGGTAGAGAATCTACTTAGTGAGCACAAAGTCTTGAGTTAAAACCCAAAATACTGGAAGTGGCGCTGTGGCTCAAGCGGTACAGCGCTCACCTGGAGCTGAAGAGCACAGGGACAGCGCCCAGGCCCAGAGTTCAAGCCCCACTACCAACAACAACAACAAAAAATACTGGGCTGGGAAGGTGGCTTAGTGGTAGAGCGCTTGCCTTGCATGAATGAGGCCCTGGGTTCAATTCCTCTGCACCATGTAAGCAAAAAAAGCCAGAAGTGGACTATGGCTCATGTGGTACAGCGCTAGTCTTGAGCTGAAGAGCTAGTGCTCAGGGACAGTGCCCAGGCTCAGAGCTCAGGCCCCACAAAAACAAACAAACAAACAAACAAAACCCCACAATACTATGCCAATATTGGGGTTTGAGCTCAGGGCCAGGGCACTGTCCCTGAGCATTTTTTTTTTCTCAAGATTAGCATTTTACTACTTTGAGCAACAGCACTACTTCTACTTCTGTTTTTTTCTAGCGATTAACTGGAGATAAGAGTCTCACAGCCTTTCCTGTCCAGGCTGGCTTTGAACCATAGTCCTCAGATGTCAGCCTCCTGAGTAGCTAGGATTACAGGCCTGAGCCACTGGTGACCATTTAGGTCTTATTTTTAGTCAATGTGAAGGAAGTTAATTTTTTTTGGGGGGGGGGGGTCCAGTCGTGGGGCCTGAACACTGGGCCCGGGCGCTGTCCCTCAGCTTTTTTCAGCTCAAGGCTAGTGCTCTATCACTTGAGCCACAGCGCCACTTCCGGTTTTTTTCTTTTTGCTTATGTGGTGCTGAGGAATCGAACCCAGGGCCTCAGGCATGCAAGGCAAGTGCTCTACCACTGAGCCACCTTCCCAGTACCCGGAAGTTAATTTTTAAGTGCAGAAGCTCCGTTGTTCAAGACCATCATGTGGAATATAGAGAGAACCTATCTAAAAATATCAGAACTACTTCTATTACCTCTATTTTACAAAACGGAAGCTCAGAAAAGAGAACTGCACCAGGTCCCGAATTTTTTTACTTTATATTTTGCTAGTTCTGGAGCTTGAACTCAGAGCCTGGGCACTGTCCCTGAGTTTCTTTGAGCTCAGGGCTAGTACCGTACCACTTGGGCCACAGCACTACTTCCAGCTTTCTTTATGCAGTACTGAGGAATCGAACCCAGGGCCTCGTGCATGCAAGGCAAGCACTCTACCACTGAGCCACATTCTTTTTTGAATTGAAGTATATTATACACAGTCAATTGGCCAAATATGAAGAATACGGGTGAGATTGCTAACTGTTCCTGACGTTATGCTAAGCAGCACAGGGCTTTTTCCTCTTTCCACCTTCAAGTATCTAAGAAGTCTTTGTTGTATAGTAAGTCTCCCCTTTGGTTTTTCCTGCGTTTCCCTTCGTTAGGCTTTTTCCTCTAGTGTGATTGACATCGAGGATTAGGGATAACATCTCTGTTCAGAAAACTCTCCAAGAGGTTTTCCACACAAAAACATCCCCCCACCGGAGAACGCGGAAAGAGTAAATATTTTCCTACAGGCGGGTTTCAAGCCCCAAGGGAATGCACGGCCGTCCCTTCGTGCGCATGCTCGGCAGTTCCTTAAAACTCAAAGGAGTCATTTCTGTCCTTTTCGGCATCCGTTCGTTTCGGGGGCGGTAGTCCTGCGACTTGTGTGATGTCATTTCCTGCCGGAAGTGGGAAGAGGAAAAAGTGCGGGCCGTTGCCTTCTAGGGTCTTGGGGGCCTCGCGTAGTCTGAGGGCTTGGAGAGTCGTTACCGCTCGCCGTCTGCGGGGTGCACGGCTGACTTACGTGCGGGTTTGCGAGAACCGGGAGCAGCCTGGGAGTTGTGGTCCTAGTGTAAGTACCCACGTGTCCCGGATGCCGACCGTCTGTGCCAAGTCCTACAACTTGAGGCTTGGTTAATCTTATTCAGTTACTTGTGTACGCATGGGTCGGTTTAAAAGGTCATTTTCAGGGGCTGGGAAGGTGGCTCAGTGGTAGAGCGCTTGCCTTGCATGCCTGAGGCCCTGGGTTCGATTCCTCAGCACCACATAAGCAAAAAGAAAAAAGCCGGAAGTGGCGCTGTGGCTCAAGTGGTAGAGCGCTAGCCTTGAGCTGAAGAGCTGAGGGACAGCGCCCAGGCCCAGAGTTCAGGCCCCAAAACTGACAAAATAGGCCCAGAGTTCAAGCCCCAAAACTGACAAAACACACACACACACACACACACACACACACCAGGTTCAGGCCCCACAACTGACAAAACACACACACACACCAGGGAGACCCAAGGCAGGAGATTACACAATTTTTCCCAAGATTGCACAGGTAACTTTTGGAATTTTTAGGCTTGAGCCTAGAAGGTTGTGTTGTAGATCTCACTTTTATTTTTTTGTACAACAGGTTCTGGAGCAGATAAAAAGTTTTGAATGACTTCATCTTGATTTTAAGACTAATATCAAAGCAAGTGTGGTGTCCCTCTGTCACTGTGAGATACAAACGAGGATAACTTTTCCAGGTGTATCCTGTGGTTTATCTTACAGGGAGCTGAGTCCAGTTCTGTTTTTCACTTGATCAGACATCATGGAGGCACCTCCGGTAACCATGATGCCTGTTACAGGGGGCACCGTAAACATGATGGAGTACTTGCTGCAAGGTAAGTGAACCAGAAAGGTTTTTTTCTTTCTTACTTTTTTTTGTCAGTCATGAGGCTTGAACTCAGGGCCTGGGCCCTATTCCTGAGCTCTGTTTGCTCAAGGTTAGTGCTCTACACTTTGAGCCACGGCTCCACTTCCGGTTTTTGAGTGGTTAACTGGAAATTAGAATTTCATAGGAGCTCAGTGCTGGTGGCTCACACCAGTGATCCTAGCTACTCAGGAGGCTCAGATCTGAGGATCATGGTTCAAAGCCAGCCCCAGCAGAAAAGTCCGTGAGATTCTTAACTCCAATAAACCACTAGAAAACCGGAAGTGGCACTGTGGCTCAAGAGGTAGAGTGCTCACCTTGAGCTGAAGAGCACAGGGACAGTCCCCAGGCCCAGAGTTCAAGCCCCAGTACAAAAAAGAAAAGAATCTCATAGGGACTTTTCTGCCAAGGCTAGCTTTGAACCGAGATCCTCAGATCTCAGCCTTCAAGAGTAGCTAAGATTACAGTTGTGAGCCACCGGCACCTGGCTGCAGGGATGTTTTTACTTTTCTTTCCTGAGCTCTTTTTGCTCAAGGCAAGTGCTCTACCACAGCTCCACTTCTGGCTTTTTGATGGTTACTGGAGTTATTGGAGGTAAGAGTCTCCCGGACTTTACTGCCAGGGCTTTGAACCGCTATCCTCAGATCTCAGCCTCCTGAGTAGTTAAGATTACAGGCATGAGCCACCAGCACCCAGTTGTATTTTACTTTTAATTGATTATTTTTGTGGTTCCAGAGGTGGCACCCAGAGCCTCGTGTCTGTTAGGCATCTGAACAGAATAGTTGCACAAACAGTTGGATGTATGAGTCTGTATATACAGCATGAGATGTAAATGTGTGAGGCTTGAGTGTATAAATGATATTTAAAGTCATAGAACCAAATTGAGTCATTGCATGAGAAAGTGACTTGCTAGAGAAGAGGACCTGGACTGAATTCACAGATCCTCTGTCATTTAAGGAAGATTAAGAAGGGCTGAGCACAAAAGACTTAAAGAGCCAGGCATGGTGGTACACTTCTGTCATCCCAGCTAGCATTCAGGAGACTGAAACAGGAAGACCAAGAGTTCCAGGCCCAACTGGAACAGAGGAGACCCTGTCCTGGGGGGGTTGGGGAGAATAGGCAATGAGTTTAGTGAAGGACCAAGAGCGACTTGTGTCCCCATAGGAAAAGTGGGTATAATCTAACAACCAGGCTGGGTGCTGGTGGCTCATGCTTATAATCCTAGGTACTCAGGAGACTGAGATTTGAGCATTGTGATTTGAAGCCAGCCCAGGCAGGAAAAGCTTTGAGACTCTTATCTCTACAACTACCAGGAAAGCCAGAAGTGGAGCTATGGCTCAAAAGTGATAGAGTGCTAGCCTTGAGTAAAAGAAGTTCAGGGACAGTGCCCAGGCTTTGAGTTCAACCCTCAGGACTGGCACCAAAACAGCCAACTCCCCAAAACAAAACGAACAACAACTACAACAACTAACGATTGGGCTGGGAAGGTGGCTCAGTGGTAGAGCGCTTGCCTTGCATGCCTGAGGCCCTGGGTTCGATTCCTCAGCACCACATAAGCGAAAAGAAAAAAGCCGGAAGTGGCGCTGTGGCTCAAGTGGTAGAGTGCTAGCCTTGAGCTGAAGAGCGGAGGGACAGTGCCCAGGCCCCACGACCAGACCCTCCCCCCCCAAAAAAAAAACAACAACAACTAACAATTATGTCAGATTCCACCAAGAGAAGACTAAATTAATAGTTTCTATGAAATACTTCATTTTTTTCTTAAGTAATTACATGAAAAGGAAAGATATTTCTTCTATATGGTTTTAGTTCTGGAAATAGAAGATAGTTGTGGCTGAGGGTATAGCTCAGCGCGTGTTAGTATGTATGAGGCACTGGGTTTGATTCCCCAGCACCAAAAGATACAAAGGGGAGGAGAAGAAAATAACTGTTCAATGACATCAATCAGTATTCTTTCTTTTTTTTTTTTTTTTTTTTCTGGTCGGTTGTGGGGCTTGAACTCTGGGTCTGGGCGCTGACCCTCAGCTCTTCAGCTCAAGGCGAGCACTCTACCACTTGAGCCACAGCACCACTTCCAGTTTTCTAGTGGCTTTTGGGAGATAAGTGTCTCACAGACTTTCTTGTCTGGGCTGGTTTGAACCATGATCCTCAGATCTCAGCCTCCTGCAGTGCCAGCTACCAATCGGTATTCTTAAAGTCTAGATAGCTCTTGTGGCTGGAGATGATCATTACCAGGGAAGGCCCAAAGACATCCTGGCACCAACCAAGGAAATGCCAGGCACAAAATGTTACAGTAAACTACTTCATTGTGTTTTTTTGATCTTTTGCTAATTATATGACAGAAAAACAAAAGCTGGACTCTGGTGCTTTTCCTTCTTTAGGAAGTGTTTTAGATCACAGTTTGGAAAGCCTCATCCATCGCCTTCGGGGTTTGTGCGACAACATGGAACCAGAGACTTTCCTTGACCATGAGATGGTATTCCTCCTTAAAGGCCAACAGGCTAGCCCATTTGTTTTAAGGGCTCGACGCTCTATGGACAGGGCAGGGGCACCTTGGCACCTGCGCTACCTGGGACAGCCAGAAATGGGAGACAAGAATCGCCATGCCTTGGTGCGGAACTGCGTGGACATTGCTACATCTGAGAACCTCACCGATTTCTTGATGGAAATGGGCTTCCGCATGGACCATGAGTTTGTTGCCAAGGGACACTTATTCCGTAAGGGCATCATGAAGATTATGGTGTACAAGATTTTCCGAATCCTGGTGCCAGGGAACACAGACAGTACAGAGGCCTTGTCACTCTCCTATCTTGTGGAATTAAGTGTTGTTGCACCAGGTGGGCAGGACATGGTCTCTGATGACATGAGGAACTTTGCTGAGCAGCTGAAACCTCTGGTTCATCTAGAGAAAATAGACCCCAAAAGACTGATGTGACTAGGAGGGTTGGGCCATCTTTTTCTTTTGTGCTGGTCCTTTGGCTTTAATTCAGGGCCTAGGTGGTATCCCTGAACTTTTTTTTGCTGAAAGTTAACATTCTACCACTTGAGCTACAGCTCTATTCCAGATTTGTGGTGGTTAACTAGAGATAAGAGTCTCATGGGCTTTCCTGCCCTGGCTGGCTTTGAACTATGATCCTCAGATCACAGCCTCCTATGTAGCTAGGATTACAGGTGTGAGCCAGAGGCCCATGACTTTAGTCCATCTTTGAGGCCTGTCCTCACTTGTTAGAAAGATAATACAAATGCCTCAATTCTGACACTGCCAACCAGTCCATATTCCTTCAGGAAAGACAGTTGCACTGTTTCTTTATGTAATGATTTGCGTTCATGACAGACTTTTTAAACAAAGGCTCAGAATGACATAGAGAGTTTTTCTAATTCCTCTGCACAAAGCGGGAAACTGGGATAAATCAGTCAAGTAAAGTATAATTGGCAGGTATAGAGGCTTATACTTATAATCCTAGAACTTGGGAAGCCAAGGCAAGAGGAATATGAGCTTTAAGTTTGAGAAAGAAAAACAAAAGAAAAATCTCCTAATTATTTTGCCAGTTGTACATAGGTTTTTAACAGAGTCTGTGAGTCTGTGCTATATGGTAATAAAGGTTATAAAGAAACATGTCTGTGATTCTGATCCCACTGTACAAATTCAGGGTTGATTCATTTCCAGATGGAGCAAGCAAAAACGAATGACAATTCTTGGTTGGTTTGCAATACTGGGAATGGAACCTATTCTTAGCTTTGAACATGCTAGGCAAGTACTCTACCATTAAGCTATACCATCTTCAGTCCCAGTTGTTCAGGGTTTTTTGTTGTTGTTTTCTTCTGTTTTTTTTTTTTGTTTGTTTTTGTGCCAGTTCTGGGGGCTTGGACTGGGCCTGGGCACTGTCCTAAGTTTTTTGCTTAAGGCTAGCTCTCTACCACTTGAGCCACAGCTCCACTTCTGGCTTTTTTTTTTTGGTTGGTCATGGGGCTTGAACTCTGGGCCTGCACTCTGTCACTCAGCCCGTCAGCTGAAGGCTAGCACTTTACTACTTGAGCCACAGTGCCACTTCAGGTTGTTTATTGGAGATAAGAGTCTCACGGACCTTTCCTGCCCAGGCTGGCTTTGAACCACAATCCTCATATCTCAGCCTCCTGAATAGCTAGGATTACAGGTGTGAGCCACCAGCTCCCAGCTTACTTCTGGCTTTTTGATTATTAATTGGAGATAAGAATCTCATGGACTTTCCTGCCCAGGCTGGCTTTTAATTGAAAACCTCAGCCTCCTCAGTAGCTAGGATTGTTGGTGTGAACCACCAACACCCAGACTCAGTCCTGGTTTTAATTTTGAATGTTATTAGGTTGTTTTGTTGTTGTTGTTTGCTGGATGCAGGTGTTCATGGGGGTAATTTCTTTTTTTTTGGGGGGGGGGGGTCCGGTCATGGGGCCTGAACTCTGGGCCTGGTGCTGTCCCTCAGCTCTTCAGCTCAAGGCCAGCGCTCTACCACTTGAGCTACAGCGCCACTTCCGGTTTTCTGGTGGTTTATTGGAGATAGGAGTCTCAGGGTCTCTCCTGCCTGGGCTGGCTTTGAACCACAATCCTCAGATCTCAGCCTCCTGAGTAGCTAGGATTACAGGCATGAGCCACCAGCGCCCGGCTCATTTTATTATTTTTTTATTGTGAAAATACTGTACAGAGGGGTTACAATTACATGGACAAGATAATGAGTACATTTCTTTTTTTTTTTTGTCGGCCGTGGGGCTTGAACTCTGGGCCTGGGCACTGTCCCTCAGCTCTTCAGCTCAAGGCAAGCGCTCTACCACTTGAGCTTCAGCGCCACTTCCGGTTTTCTGGTGGTTTATTGGAGATTGGAGTCTCACGGTCTTTCCTGCCAGGGCTGGCTTTGAACCGCGATCCTCAGATCTCAGCCTCCTGAGTAGCTAGGATTACAGGCGTGAGCCACCAGCGCCCGCCATGAGTACATTTCTTATCAACCATTGTGCCCTCCTCCTTTGTTTGCCCTTCCCATCCAACATTTACTTTTTCTAAGGTTAGAACTTAAGGCCTCATGTTTGCTAGGCAGGTGATCTACTTGAGTCTTGTCCCTAGTTATTTTTTCACTTTAATTCTTGTTTTATTTTTTTATTTTTTATTTTTTTAATTTTTTGTCGGTTGTGGGGCCTGAACTCTGGGCCTGGGCGCTGTCCCTCAGCTCTTCAGGTCAAGGCGAGCGCTCTACCTCTCTACAGTGCTACTTCCGGTTTGGTGGTGATTTATTGGAGATAAGAGTTTCACAGAGGGGCTGGGAAGGTGGCTCAGTGGTAGAGTGCTTGCCTTGCATGCATGAGGCCCTGGGTTCAATTCCTCAGCACCACATAAGCAAAAAAGAAAAAAGCCGGAAGTGGCACTGTGGCTCAAGTGATAGAGTGCTAGCCTTGAGTTGAAGAGCAGAGGGACAGCGCCCAGGCCCAGAGTTCAGGCCCCAGGATCAGACTCCCCAAAAAAAAGAGTTTCTTGGAGTTTCCTGCCTCGGCTGCCTTTGAACCTCGATCCTCAGTTCTCAGCCTCCTGAATAGCTAGGATTACAGGCGTGAGGCACCGGCGCCTGGCTTAATTCTTTTTTAAAATGGACACTTGCCTCTTTTTTTTTTTTGTTGGTCGTGGGGCTTGAACTCTGGGCCTGGGCGCTGTCCCTCAGCTCTTCAGCTCAAGGCGAGCGCTCTACCACTTGAGCTACAGCGCCATTTCCAGTTTTCTGGTGGTTTATTGGAGATAGGAGTCTCACGGTCTTTCCTGCCGGGGCTGGCTTTGAACCGGGATCCTCAGATCTCAGCCTCCTGAGTAGCTAGGATTAGAGGCGTGAGCCACCAGCGCCCGGCTAACACTTGCCTCTTTTATTTTTTTATTTTTGTATTTTTGCCGGGCTTGATCTGAACCACTATCCTACTTTTATGTCTCCTATGTAGTTGGGATGGCAGGCATGTACCACTTTGCTCAACACTGGTTGGAACGGGGATCTCACTAACCTTCTGTGTGTGCTGGCCTCATACAATGATCCTTTTGATCCCTGCTGCCTAATAGCTGGGATTATGGATGTGAGACCTGTGCCTAGTTCCCATTTTTCTTTTTAAATTTCCAGAACTTTTTGTATATTCTAGATATTAACTCTTTGTTTTAAATGCCTTTTCTAATTTTGTTTTTTTTTGCTTTACCATGTTAAGGATTAGACCCAGGACTTCACAGAATGCTAGGCAAGTAAGGAATCTACCACTGGGCCATATCTCCAGCAAATGATCTATATTGACCTTATGGTTTGGAACCTTATGTGTTTGCTTGTGGAGACATTGTCTGTATGCAGCCCAGAGTGACCTGAAACTGGACATCTTGCTTCCACCTTTGGAGTAAGTAGGATCACAGGTGTGGGCTGGGAAGATGGCTCAGTAGTAGAGCACTTGCCTTGCATGCCTGAGGCCTTGGGTTCAGTTCCTCAGCACCACATAAGCAAAGAGAAAAAAAAAGCCGGAAGTGGTGCTGTGGCTCAAGTGGTAGAGAGCTGGCCTTGAGCTGAAGAGCTGAGGGACAGCGCCCAGGCCCAGAGTTCAGGCCCCACGAAGGGACCCCAAAAAAAAAAAAAAAAAAAAGTAGGATCACAGGTGTGCCCAGGATAGCATACTTGGAATGGTTTGGAATCTTGTTTATAGGTTCATTATTTACTCCTAGTAACATAGATTTTTCTTACGTTTTCTTGTACTAGTTTTATAGTTTTACCATTCATTTAAATCTTTTAATCCACATAGTTTAAAGTAAAAATGCAGCTTTCTTTTTCCAGTGAATTTGTATCCCCATTTGAAAAACCACCTTTCTGGTTACCTTCATCACATATTAAGTTTCCACTGAGTATTCTTTATGTACAAGCCCTCCATTCTTTTCTATTGGTCGTTTTCTTTGTTTAATGCTGGCAACATGATGTTTTTATTACTGTGGCTTTATGGTTGAGCCGGTTCTACCAGTAGGACAGGTTTCCCTACTTTGTTTTACCCTCAAAATAGACCTAGCTTGCATAGACCTTTATTCTTTCATACTCAGCTTAGTGTAAGTTTTTCTGGAATTGCACTGGATATGAAATACAAATGATAAAAGTTGAGATAGGTTATTTTGGGAAAGAATTGTTGCTGGCTTCTTTCAACTTCCAGGTCTCTGCTAAAATGTTAGAGTAACCTTCCCTGATAATTCTGAATTATGTATCACACCCACTTTCTCTACTTTGTGTGTGTGTGTGTGTGTGTGTGTGTATGTATATGCCAGTCCTGCAGTCCTGGGCTTGAATTTAGGACCTGGTCACTGTCCTTGAGCATCTTTTTCTCAAAGCTTGCATTCTAACACTTGAGCCATGGCTCCATTTCTGGCTCTTTTTTTTTTTTTAAGTTGATTGGAGACAAGAGTCTCACTAACTTTCCTGCCTGGGCTGGCTTCAAACCCCAATCAGTAGATCTCAGCCTCCTGAGTGGCTAGGATGTCAGGTGTAAGCCATCAGTGCCCAACTTCTCTCCTTCTTCTGATTGGATTTCATTTTTCCACAACAGTTATTACTGTTTGACCCCATTTATTCATTTCTTTGTTTCTTTCTTTTTTTCTTTTCTTTTTTTTTGTTGGTCATGGGGCCTGAAATCTGGTCCTGGGGTTCTATCCCTCAGCTCTTCAGCTCAAGGGGAGTGTTCTTTTTTTTTTTTTGGGTCCGGTCGTGGGGCCTGAACTCTGGGCCTGGGCGCTGTCCCTCAGCTCTTCAGCTCAAGGCTAGCGCTCTACCACTTGAGCCACAGCGCCACTTCCGGGTTTTTTTATTTTGCTTATGTGGTGCTGAGGAATCGAACCCAGGGCCTCAGGCATACAAGGCAAGCGCTCTACCACTGAGCCACCTTCCCAGCCCCTTTTATTCATTTCTTTAATAAAATGTGAGCCCCATAAGTGCAGGTGCTTTGTCCTTTTCCTCACTGAATCATTGGCACCCACAACAGCAAGTAGCCCATGGCAGGGGCCACTGGATAT